AAAAAAAAAAAAAAAAAAACATTGGCTACTCATCTTCTTCCTCTTCTGATCGACGGCTGTTGCAACTCTTCCCAGCGGACCCAGCACGGGAGGCCGCGGGGGCTGGCCGGGTGCTGGGTCCGCTCCTGCCCACCACCATCTCCTTCTTCTCCAACCCCCTTACCCCAAAACCATCACAACCACAATCACTAGCGGTTGGTAGGTTAGCTCCAATCGAAATCAAATCCGACTCGATAGATTTTAGTAAATTCTTACCCAAATTGATCCAATCTAATTGTTGAAATCGAACCAAACAAAGTCGGTTTGATTTGGCTAGTCGTTTTGAACATTTGTCCAAGTTAAAAAAATGTGTCAATCCAAGGTTAAAAAATTTATGTGCTATATATATATATGTATGTATGTATGTATGTATGTAAATTTTTTTAATGTACTTGCATAATACGTATTAATAATATGTATAATGTAAAATACCAAATGGTCGATTTTCCAAAAATTGCCCTATATATTCGATAGTTACCAACAAACAATTACATCAAAATGAAAAGTAAGGCACAATCTAAATTTAGAGTTTACAATAAAAAATACTCCTTGCTTTTATTTTTTTTTGGAATTTGGAGTTTTGATAGAAAAAGTATAGACGGTAAATAAATTATTTGAGAAATATTTATATTATGTTATTTTTTAAGTTTAAGAATATTAATTTTAAAATGAAAAAAAAAATTAAAAATGTATTAGCAGGTTAGGTCAGTTGCCGGTTAATTGATGAGTTGGCAACCAACCTGACCTTTCTTTTCAATGGTTAAAACAAATTGAACCAAACAACTTTTTTGGTTCAAACCGACCCGTCTCGTTTTGATTTGGTCGGTTCGATCAGTTTTTCGATTTTTTAGCCCACCCCTAACGGTTGGCGCCATCGCACCTACCCAACACTGACGCCACCATACCCACCACTACCACCACCACTGGAAATGTGAATTGTAAACTGAAAAGAAGACCTGGGATCGAAATATGTGAACTGGGAGTCATCGTGGCTGCCATAGATAAACTACAACAGGATTCTAGTTTCTGTAAAAAGACTGAAAATGATTGTAAGCATATTTTAATCACTCATATGGCATTACCATGTATTCCTACTAGTTTTACGATTCCATAACTATTTATTGGTGGAGAAATAAATTGAGTGCCTGGCCATCAACAAAGGCTTTTTAGCTCTTCAAACACACTTTATAGTTTATTCCTCGAGGCAATTCATCAAGCATGTCGTGTGCCTTCAAAATACAAACAAGAGCAAGCGCAAAACCAATTACTCGAGATAGTAATAATAGAAATTTCTTCACAGGAGATGGGTGATAAGCGTTGATCAGACACAAAGGCGTATAAAATGAGGAAATGGTTTGCTATCAAGAATTGGAATCGGAATAATCGTATACTTTAAGCATAACCATAGATGTGGACTCCTTCGAAATCCCAAATGGAAAGTAAATAGTCATTGTCGGGATGGAAAAGTTGCTCTTACAACCAAATCTCAAGTGGAAGATAATGGGGCTACAAAACTGAGAAAGGGCTAGGGGTGAAAGCCAACCAAGATTGGATACTTGTTTCAATCATGCATGGGAAATTGAGTTAATTGTCCCAATAATCACTAAACTTAGAATAGTGTCTTCCATTGCTCACTAAAATTTTAGATGTCGAATTTTGACTATCAAACTTCTCAAAATGTCGGACGTAACTCACTGGGATAGCTTCCGTTTCGCAACTGTAATGTAATAGCTAATGTGGCATACGGATTGCAAATTGATGCCCAATTTCCGAGGAGGACGTATTTGATTACTCACTACACCTCGACAGCAGTCTACCAACACCGATTGTATGCTGCAAGGGTTACTAGTGCAAGAAATCTCGCTTCATTTCTTTGGACAGTGTGTGCAAGAGTAAGCATCATCAGATACTTTAAACTAGTGATTATCGTTATTCAGTTATCTTTCTCTTCATACTCACTTTCAGAATCGCCCATGTCGGTGTCATCTCCAGAACCGTACTCCATTGAACTTCCCATGAGACTAGATCTTATGAAGGTCACACAGACTGCAAATCATATAAACATATGATCACAAATTTCCCATCAAAAGCACTAAAACAGCATCATTTAGCCATCAGAAGAAGTGTTTTGAATTAAAGATTATCCCCCTGTTTGGTACACATTAAAATTTTCATTTTCATTCTTCTACTCATTTTCAACCACACATTGTTCAATAAAATAATATTTTCCATCACATCAATAACTTTTCTTCCTTTTTCAACCACAAATTCTCCATCAATCTACTATTTCAGACTATATTCTTCCAAAATAACGTGACTCAATATTACTAAAATAATCCCTCAAAGTTCTCTCTCCTCTCCCAATCTCTCTTAAAATTAAGGGGTCGTTCTCTTTGTGTTTCAGTTTTGTGTTTTGAGTTTTGAATTCATTTTGTGTTTTATATTTTGAGTGTCCATTTTGAAATTGTTGAAAATGTGTTCTTTTGCCATTTTGGAAAATTA